TCCATCCATCATCCATCCACCCATCATCCATAATTCATCCATCCATCCATCCATCCATCATCCATCCATCCATCATCCATCCATCCATCATCCATCCATCATTCATCCATCCATCCATCCATCATTCATCCATCCATCATCCATAATTCATCCATCCATCCATCCATCATCATCCATCCATCCATCATCCATCCATCCATCCACCCATCATCCATAATTCATCCATCCATCCATCCATCCATCATCCATCCATCCATCATCCATCCATCCATCATCCATCATTCATCCATCCATCCATCCATCATCCATCCATCCATCCATCCATCCACCCATCCATCATCCATCCATCCATCATTCATCCATCCATCCATCCATCCATCATCCATAATTCATCCATCCATCCATCCATCATTCATCCATCCATCCATCCATCCATCATCCATAATTCATCCATCCATCCATCCATCATTCATCCATCCATCCATCCATCCATCATCCATCCATCCATCCATCCATCATCCATCCATCCATCCATCCATCCATCCATCATCCATAATTCATCCATCCATCCATCCATCATCATCCATCCATCCATCATCCATCCATCCATCCATCATCCATCCACACATCATCCATAATTCATCCATCCATCCATCCATCCATCATTCATCCATCCATCATCCATCATTCATCCATCCATCCATCCATCATCCATCCATCCATCCATCCACCCATCCATCATCCATCCATCCATCATCCATAATTCATCCATCATCCATCATTCATCCATCCATCCATCATTCATCCATCCATCCATCCATCCATCATCCATAATTCATCCATCCATCCATCCATCATTCATCCATCCATCCATCCATCCATCATCCATAATTCATCCATCCATCCATCCATCATTCATCCATCCATCCATCATCCATCCATCCATCCATCATCCATCCATCCATCCATCCACCCATCCATCATTCATCCATCATCCTCCAACATTCATCCATCATCCATCCATCCATCCATCCATCCATCATCCATCATCCATCCATCCATCCATCCATCCATCCATCATCCATCCATCCATCCATCATCCATCCATCCATCTATCCATCCATCTATCCATCCATCCAGATTTCTCCCTTTCTCCATATAGGCTATCATTTGATCGTTCACGCTCTCCGTAGTTCTCCTGTGGCGCGAGCACAGGGCGGCTGTTACGCGCCTTTAGCTAGCATGCGCGTTTCCTGTCGCTTGCGCGGTGAATCGTGCCGCCGCGCTGTGCGGAGATGCAGGGGAAACCGTATCTGTATTTCCATCTGGAAAACGCTGTTTTGCCGCTGGAGTCCTCCTCACTCTCCATCCTCCCCTCTCTCATGACAAGACGCGCACGAGTCCTATCATGAAAAAATGTTAATTGTGCGACCTGAGTAACGTGCAGTAACGAGGTGTCGGCAATTGTAACTGTGTTATTGTTACAGTAAGAGTAATAATTTTGATTACTCGTTAGTAAAAAAAGGTAGCGGCGTTAGTAACGCTGTTACTTTCAACGCCGTTACTTCCCATCACTGCATCGAACACCTAAAACACCCAAAAAAAACAAGCAATGATTGAGAAACTCGATTTGGCTTGGAGTATTCCACAGACATTCTACATCTTAAGTCTGGTTTATGCTCAGAAACCCGGTCGTCTGCGTGTGAGTTGCAGTTAACGCAGATATGAACCTCCCCAACATTGTAGGTGACCGCGTCTTATGGAGGAGAGAAAGGAGGCCTCTGATTGGTCAATTCTACATCGGCTATACGCTATGCGTATTTCCTGTTTGGTACCTTACCGGACAGCACGTATTCAAGCAATTTATGGATGGAGAGAGCAACGAATGTGGGACTAGATACGGCTCAGGCGGTGAGGAAGTTTGTGCGACAACGGAGGGACATGAGGGCGAAAAAGAGGGGATCCAGGTGGAAAAAGGGCCCCAGCGTTCTATATCTTCATGTCCTGGCTGGATTAGTTCATGATTGTCCTTCTAGCGTTGAGGGACTGTAACATAGAGCAGACCACGATTTATAAATGGGCATAGATCTAAAATATCGGCATCATACCTGCGACAAGCTAACTGTGAAACGCTGCTGCGGGAGAATACACAGCCCTCGGTCAAAACAGCAGAGTCACGACACAAGACCCCCCCCAACTAACGTATGTGAGGCGCAACACACTGAAGCACATTCCCCAGTGAAGAAATGAAATATTAATCAGTTGTGCCCTTTTCTGCTGCCTGGACATTTAACGAGGATGAGGAGTCATGGGTCGAGATAATGAGATGCCCTGGGAAGCTTGGAGGTCGAAGGACATTTAATTTACAGCGCAAAAAGAAACTACACTTTTTTTTCCCTCTTCAAGCAAACTATGGTTATGCAACAAACGGACTATGATCTGAAACAACCATTAAACAACTGATTGTTTAACAAAGTCATACTGAAGCATTTTGGACCAAAAAAAACGTTTTCAAAAGTTTGGGGTCACAATAAAATGTCCTTATTTTTGAAGGAAAAGCACTTTACTTTTCAGTGAAGATGACTTTAGACTAGTCTTAATTTCAAAGAAATACACTCTATACATTGCTAATGTGGTAAATGACTATTCTAGCTGCAAATGTCTGGTTTTTGGTGCAATATCTACATAGGTGTATAGAGGCCTATTTCCAGCAACTATCACTCCAGTGTTCTAATGGTACAATGTGTTTGCTCATTGGCTCAGAAGGCTAATTGATGATTAGAAAACCCTTGTGCAATCATGTTCACACATCTGAAAACAGTTTAGCTCGTTACAGAAGCTACAAAACTGACCTTCCTTTGAGCAGATTAAGTTTCTGGAGCATCACATTTATGGGGTCAATTAAATGCTCAAAATGGCCAGAAAAGAGAACTTTCATCTGAAACTCGACAATCTACTCTTGTTCTTAGAAATGAGGGCTATTCCATGGGAGAAATTGCTAAGAAATTGAAGATTTCCTATAACGGTGTGTACTACTCCCTTCAGAGGACAGCACAAACAGGCTCTGACCAGAGTAGAACAATAAGTGGGAGGCCGCGTTGCACAACTGAGCAAGAAGATAAGTACATTAGAGTCTCTAGTTTGAGAAACGGACGCCTCACAGGTCCTCAACTGGCATCTTCATGAAACAGTACCCGCAAAACACCAGTGTCAACATCTACAGTGAAGAGGCGGCTGCGGGATTCTGGGCTTCAGGGCAGAGTGGCAAAGAAAAAGCCAAATCTGAGACTGGCCAATAAAAGAAAAAGATTAAGATGGGCAAAAGAACACAGACATTGGACAGAGGAAGACTGGAAAAAAGTGTTGTGGACGGATGAATCCAAGTTTGAGGTGTTTGGATCACAAATAGGAACGTTTGTGAGACGCAGAAGAAATGAAAAGATGCTGGAAGAATGCCTGACGCCATCTGTTAAGCATGGTGGAGGTAATGTGATGGTCTGGGGTTGCTTTGGTGCTGGTAAGGTGAGAGATTTGTACAGGGTAAAGGGATTCTGAATACGGAAGGCTATCACTCCATTTTGCAACGCCATGCCATACCCAGTGGACAGCGCTTGATTGGAGCCAATTTCATCCTACAACAGGACAATGACCCTAAACACACCTCCAAATTGTGCAAGAACTATTTAGAGCAGAAGCAGGCAGCTGGTATTCTATGGGTAATGGAGTGGCCAGCGCAGTCACCAGATCTGAACCCCATTGAGCTGTTCTGGGAGCAGCTTGACCGTACGGTACGCAAGAAGTGCCCATCCAACCAATCCAATTTGTGGGAGCTGCTTCTGGAAGCGTGGGGTGCAATTTCTCCAGATTACCTCAACAAATTAACAGCTAGAATGCCAAAGGTCTGCAATGCTGGAATTGCTGCAAATGGAGGATTCTTTGACGAAAGCAAAGTTTGATGTAAAAAAAAAAAAATCATTATTTCTAACCTTGTCAATTTCTTGACTCTATTTTCTAATCATTTCACAACGTATGGTGGTGAATAAGTGTGACTTTTCAGGAAAACACAAAATTTTTTGGGTGACCCCAAACTTTTGTTTATTTTCACTGCAGCTTATCCTGGAGAAAATGACACCATGTGACTAATCTGCTGCACGATATTTGGTGCTTTAAGTTTCATTTCCATTACAGTATTAATTTATTATGATTTTTTGCATCAATTGAATTATAGAGATACAATAAAAAAATCTGATATATGAATCAAGATGCTATGACCCAAAAAATTTAATTGACAGATGACCGTTGATATATGATTGGCCGAATTTAGGTGTTCAGGCCAACGTAGAACTAACTGGCCTGCAGAAGATAATGGGAAAAAAAAAAACAGATTTTAAGACAGGATTTTTAAAAAAATAGAATTTTTCTAAATTTTGGGACAATATGGTCTGATAAAGAGTACATTTATATACATGTTTAAGCCAGAATTATTTGACATTTAAATATGATTTCCTTCCTTTAATGTTTAAATAGTATAATATAATTATTTCCTTGTGGTTTAATTATAGTATTTTGGAGCTAATAGAGTCACGTGTGACATAAACACAGTGAGTCTGGTTCATGCCAGCTGACCAAATCTACGTTGTTATAATGAAGTTTAATTAATAGCACATATATTCACCTGAGAACTGATGATTGTGTCCTGATACTGATTTTATGACAATAAAGTAGTGAAACTCAATCTATTTACCTATTTATTCTTATTTTATTTTAAATAGGTCTATAGGTTTATAAGTCTTTTTTCCCCCCCAAATTTTTTTTTTTTAAATGTTCACTGCACCTACTGTTGGAAATGACTTCCAGCGGCCATGAAAATAGGAATTTTCAACAGGATTAATTTGTTTTGCAGCTAATATCTGAACAGGTGACTTGAAAACATGTCAAGATAAAGTGTTTGATGCTGATAGTTTGAGCCTGAGCTAAATGTTTCCTGCTGGTTTTCTCACCGGAGGCCTGTGAACCACCCAGTAGGCTCGTTCCTGGCAGTCAAACACCACTCGGTCCGGCTTCTTCCTCTCTTTGGTCGCTCTAAAAAAAAGAAAGAAATAAAAACAAACCGAGAAGCCATCAAGTTTGTAACACTTTCTCCACAGCTACACTGAGGTGTTGCTGAGTTTGCAGCCCGCCTACCTGTACTGTTCCTTAGCTTGCATTACTATGAAATCCCACTTGTGGTTCATCCACTTGTGAAGATGGTTGTACTGCTCCTGAGCAAAGTGAAAACCGCCTCAGTAAAAATATCCTCTGGCATCACGTTGCACCAAATGTAAGCCTTACTTCAGGAAAAAGAACATCTGTAGTTTCTGATTTTTTTTGCTTTTTTTACCCTTTAATAGATGATTAAAAAATCATTAAAGCTGAAATGACATCTGTGCAAAGAATGTAAAGTTTATTTTCATATTTTTAGCAAATCAGACAGTTTTGACACCTCTGCTGAAACTATGAATGTTTATAACTGCAGTAGAAGCATAAATAATGCTGTTTAAAAACACTTTTGTAGAAGTTAGAGGATTAACTTCAGCTTTTTACTCAAGCAAAGTGTAAAAGTACCATTTTTAAAACTTAAAAGTATAAAAGCAAACAGAATGCAGGAAAAAAATGTGAAGGATAGAAGTTTTACTGCACTAAACTATTAAAGGAACATTGATGAAAACTTCCTTAGACTTCATTTTCTTAGTTTTATAACTGATGATAACTGTTACCGCCATCAGGAGCAGTTATGCTGTTAAAGTTAATTTCATGGATTTAATTTGCAGTAAATATGTTAAAAATAATATTGAATTAAGGAAATCCAACAATTGATGTTAAAAATACAGATTTAAAAGCTTCTGTAAATGTTTTAGGGTGGAACCAATGTTCATTGTGTTGTTTAGGTTGGATCAATATTGCAGTTACACGCTATACTTGATAGAGGGCGGTGTCACTACCCGATCCGTCCCGGTGTAGGTACCAAATCTGCTCGGGTCCTGCTTCATGCCAGTGACGTTAGGCTACATGATTGGCTGATTGTTGCCTCATGATGTTGTTGTCTGGGTAACAACATCATGAGGCATACGCATTCGCAAAACGATCCGTCCTGCGAATGCGCAAACAGATATACATCCGGGTGTCCATAATTAATGTAATTATGGTAGTAAAACTACTTATTTCTATCCTTAAGTCAATAAAGAATCCTAATACACATCTTTATAAAATGTTTTATGAGTTTTGTGAGACAATTTTGATATAATTTTACTAGCGTTGAGCTGATGCCATTTTTTGGCCCGATACCGATACCCGATACCTGACTGTGCAGTATCGATCGATATGATACCATCTGATTGAAACTGATGCCTGTGTGTATATATGAAGAACTGCATATTAAATGGATGTAAAATAATTTCCATCATGGCTTTGTCAAGCTGCTGCCTTCCTTTGTAAAGCAGGAAAAAGACTAAAAGTGAATCCAGTAGAACTTTTTATTGCCTACCTGGAATGGGTGACAATAGTTGAAGAAACTTTTGGCTCTCAAAATGGTATCGGTGCCCTATTGGTTGGTACTCGCCAATACCAATACCACCATTTTAGTGCTGGATCGGTGCCCCGCCCCATACTGGTATCGGTTCAACACTTCTTTTTCACATTTTCTCAGTTAAACTGCTTCTCTGACGTCATCATGGGCCATGCTCAGAGCAGTTCGGCTAAATATGATTAAACCATGTTTCTGCATTTTAGTTGTTTCTTTCTTTAGATTACGCACTATATACCATAATGTGACATAAAAGGAAAACATAAAACTCAAAAAGACTAGATTTATGTTTAAATGTTTAAAAAGTTAGCTCCTGGAAGTAGCGTAGGATCGCATTTCCGGTGCAGATCAGGCACAGAGTGATAAAACAGAAAGCATTTTAGGGCATTTATTTTCTCAGGAAATATATTATTAACGGTTAACATGTTATATTTTAGTACATTTGCTATTTTTGGAGTGGAAAAAAACATAACTTAGGTCTTTTTTACAAAATAAAATAGAGGGCGACCCGAATGTATATCTGGATGCGCCAATGAGCTGATGGCACGCAGGACGGATCGGAATAAGCATGCTTTATTTTTCCCTGTCCGCGATGCTTGCAGTGACCTTTTTTTTCACTTCAGTGAAGAGGATGGTGCTGCAAACCGTATTTTTACTAACCCCTTCAATTTGATGTGGCCAATGAGTTCTCACAGCATCATTAATGACACCTGTGTCCAATTAAATGCCGGTAAACATAAAGAACGCTTTATGTCCGTTAATCATTTTGGAGGGAGTTACAGTAACAGAGTCAAATTAAACTTTTCATCATCTTGAAAAACTATTTATTTTGCTATGTGGTGAACAACAAGTTGGGGCAGCACCGAGTGCAACCACAAAGAAATTAATTGTCTGGATAAAACTAATTATTTTGATGCTTTTCATTTTTTTAATACCAACAGGGCAGAATGAAAATGAGCTTAAATGAAACAAAACTAATCAGTCTGTTTAAAATGTAAGGAGTAGAAGTTAAAAACTAAAAGAATAATTATTCCAGTAAAGTTTAATATCTATTAAAGTAAAATAACGTAGTATTTGTACTTTGTTGCGTGATATTGCAGCTGTTTAGATGTTGTTTCCACTTTTTCTTATTTTGACTTATTTTTTTTCCCCAACGTTTGGCTTTATTCTCAATATTTCAACTTTATTCTGTATTGAAAAAGAAAATCAAAGCAAGAAAAGGAATAAAACAGTTTTGTTTTTTCTATTCTCCTTCCAGCAAGTGACTCTGATAATCCTCCATAACTTCTGCTCACCTGCTCGTGCAGCTCCAGCATCCCTTTCTTACGGATGTTTCTCTTTGCCAAGTAGATTGCTTCAGGAAACAAAGAGAATCAGTGAAGGTCGGGTCCCGATGCTGTAGGTAAAAATGATGCGTCACGCTTACCGTAATCTGTATCCTCAACAGGCCACTGCTGAGTGGGCCAGAAATACGGCGTCTGAAATACAAAGAGCAAAGTTAAAGTCTGGTCATTAAAACAGTAAATAATCAGTTAAATCTGTCAATTTTTTATTCCAAATGTATATTTATTCCCAGTTCCTAAACTTTATACATGTAATTTGACTGTTTTTATTATAAAACCAGAGAGCCAACAAGTTTTTCCTGAGACCTCAGGATGTCCTAAGCTGCACACCGTAGTTCAGCCTGTTTCAGACTGAGTTAAAATAACAAAACAAATCAGACTGATATTTGCCCACTATGAAAAATGTGTAGACCTGATTGAAATGTGTTTGTGAAAAGGTTTAAGGATTCATATATGCAGGTGCAACAAAAACAACATGGCGACCATCTTTACAAGAGTTTCAATCCAGCAGAAAAAAGTTGGAAAGATTCCTGTATGGAAGTAAATCTGTGTCGCTGGGATTTGAATAAAAAATGCTACTGAAATTTAAATGTTGTATGTTTGTTCTTACTGTTTCAGTGTTAAAATATATTCAGAACACATTTTTGACCTAAAAAAAATCATTGTCATTATTTCTACACAGTTGAAATTTTGTTATTTTCTCTTTAAGCTAAAAATTCACATTACTATTTCAAAGTGATTACATTTTCAATACTTATTTTTCAGTTTAATTTTTCAGTGTTTTCAGGCGCTTCAGAAGCAGTCAGAGCATGTGAGCGCCGCGTAGAGCGGAGTGGAAGAAATATGGTGGAGCAGGGGAATGCTGCTGATTTCACTCCGCTCCAATTCGCTCCGATGCGCTAACAACGTCAAATTAAAAATGTTAGATTATAAAATTTGTTTGTAATGTATTTGATTAAAGTGGGATTCTTTTCGACAATTAACAATTAAATAGAAATCACGGGGCAACATGAATGGAGCGAGGTGTTACGTTCACAGCTGGAAACAGCCAGTTACATAAGACAATCCACATGTATCGGTCACATCATTAAATGAAACGCTGTGTCAGAAAATGCCTTCTCCTGAAAGTTTCAGCAATTTCGCTGGAGTGATCGTGGAGCTGATTTTGAGCAGATAATCCTGGCGCGACTTTGAGCACCAGAGTGAATGAGCGAATATCCTGAGAGGGGAGCAGGAACTGTACGGAAAAATTTAACTTTCTCTGCTGGACGCGCCACATCAACCAATCAGAGACGCTGATCTGGGAGCTGGCAGGGAGTCAGACACAGCACTGCTGATGCAGAGCGCTATGATCACTCCTCTGAAACAGTTTATTAACGCCTAAATTAACTTCAAATGTAGAAACCTGCCGGCAGAATATGTTGGCTTTTATTATCCTGCTGCCTGCAGTTTGTTAGCCTCGTGAGTCCATCCTGATCTCGTGAGCTTTCAAGGTTTCACTCGCTAATCAGTCTGGAGACTCTCGGTTAAAGAAAATTTGGAGCCGTTCACCAAACGAACGTCCAATCAGCGTTGGCTTTGAGGCGGGTTGAGGTGTGACGCAACGAGAAGCGCGACAGTTCAGTCTAAAGAACATGGCGGCTTCAGCCGAAGAAACTAGCGTTAGCGTGGCTATCGAGCAAGTTTTATCGGAATTACAGAGTATTTCTTCACTGAAAGAAGAGCAAAACACTGCTCTGGAGGCTTTTCTCAGAGGAAAAGATGTTTTTGCTCTTCTCCCGACTGGTTTCGGCAAGAGTAGCCTGGCTTGTGGTTGTGTTTTCGTCGTCGCTCTGTTAGTACGTCATATGCTTCGTTGATCTGATTGGTGTATTTGGCCCGTCTATCACCAACATAGGCCAATCAGCTAACCAGTATTTTCGCCACTTCCCAAAATTACCTCAACGGTAGGTTTCCAGATGGATATGCGGAGCAAATCCATCTGGCGGAGTCAGGTTAGCAGTTTGTAGCACAGACCTGAAAAACGCTAACATCTACTTCCAGCCGCCACCAACAGTAGGGGGAAACCCCCAAGAGGCGAGCGGGCCTGAGGCAGCTGCTGCTTGGGATTCCCAGTGACAGCGCAGCGCCGGTATGTGGGGGTCTAAGCGGCTCCCACAGAGAAATAATCTTTGAAGGCAGGATGGTAATCTGGATGAACTGACTGCACAGACCATGTTTTCAGGAGGACTTTCTCACTTCAACATAGATTCCAACTACTTTTTACCCGCTGATCACAGCTAATATAGCTGCCATTGTTCCAGACAGAGAAAGGATAGAGTAGCTCCGCCCACCGCGCATCAGACCCACTTTTCCACCGCGCAGCTAGAGCAGCAAAGATGCTTCGACCATATTTTAGAACTAAACCTGTACAAGCTCCTGCTGCGTGCGATCTGAACGTAGCATGAACCGTCCGTCTCCCGCCTGGACCTAGCATCACCCTGCATGAGCTGGAAACCTTTAGCATTTTTACCTGGAAGCGATACAGGGAGGCGTCTGGTTTGATCACCAAATTTTTGTGGTCTTGCAAAGGGTAGATGTATCCCAAGCTCACCAGCATGGAGCCTAAACTTCTGGCCTCTGGAAACGGCAGATGGAAATGTTGAAAATGGAACCACTTCCTGAAATAATGCTTGACCATTTACATCCATAAGGACTGGATGTCTCACCTTGAGCCTCTACTTGAAATCTGTCAGCTAACCATGCGATTATGTCTTCACCTGAAGAGGAAACCAACAAATTCAACAGAAGAATGGAAGATCAAAGAAGAATCATGGTGGAATAATTACAGCAGAAAACAAACAGAAATAAGACGTGTTCAGTTGGAGTTAAACGTTTGGAGTCAAGGTGGGAATCTTTGTCTCTTTGTCCTCCTGGCTGCTCACTCATCTTTCTTCACCTCCTACTTTTTCCCCTCCGCCTGAGTCTGAGACTGCCGTGGTCGTCATGGAAATGAAATCTGTAGCTCTCAGGTCTGAGCCCGTGCATAGCTCTGGTTTCCCTCAGAGACCGAACGCTGCCGCCATCAGAGAGGCGAGCGGCTGCATTTCTCAGCATTGCATTGATCTGTTGTTCGTGAACACGTGGGAGGGATCTATTTTTATTACCAGTGATAGCATGGGGTATGATGGTGATAACGAGTCTCTGAGGCTGCGACTTCACTCCTGTGCAGGGGTCCTGCATCTCCAGCAGCACCTTCTCTGCCTGTAAAAAAAAACCCCAATAATTATGGAGGATTTTCCTGCTAAAAGTCAAAGGGACACATTTTTGTTTTTATTTAACTCTGCTCTCACTCCAAAACATCTCCTCCTTGCATTCAAAACCCTCTTTTCCATTAAATCTTTATTTCTTGACTTAATGCTTCTTGCACAGATATTTTATCCTCCTGTTCGCTTCCTTCTCCTCGCCGGCAAACTTCTTCTATGCTTTTGCAAACCTGTTGTATCTGTTGGTTATTTTCTTTTTTTGTCTCTTTCATATTGTGTTATGATTATCACCTAGCAACCACCCCATCCTATAGAGCAGTGGTGGTTCTAGATGAAATATATCAGGGGGGCATGATTGGATCTGTTTTTTTGTTTTGTTTTGTTTTTTGTTTGTTTTTTCGGCAGGTGGCGCATAGAGGTAAAGAATAACACAACCACACAAAAACAAACCTAGGATGAGAGTGTTTAGTACTATAAATGAGCCATAGAGCCCAGGTTGCACACTTAATCTAACATATAAAAACTGTGATCATAATTGCTAAAGTAAATTGTTCGGGCAAAACATTAAATTTGTCCAAGGTACAAATCAGTAAAAGTATCTTCTTTCATTGCATATGATCATTACAAATTTATTTAGTCACACTGCAAAAAGAGATCTAAAAAAGATAATAATAGATGCAAAAGAAAAACAAGCAACCCTGAACACAGCACCCATATTGCAAGGCATGGTGGTGACAGCATCATGCTGTGGGGATCCTTTTCTTTAGCAGCAGAGGGGAGCTGGTCAGAGCTGATGGACAACGGGCCTAAGCTGAATACAGGGCAATAAACGATTATTCACACCGAATGCGGGGTCTGCGATGGTTCCCGATAGCACCACGGACAGTTCACCGCCGTGCATTTCACATGGAGCGTTTACATCGCGGCCGCATCATCACATAGGAGCAGCTTCAGCTGCATGAAAAATCCTCAGCAAATAGACTGAATGGTTAGTTCTTCTTCAGTGCAGGTCTTCACTTACAGAAAATTAGATATTTTGTGCTACTTTTGTTTCTGGTTCATAAGATATTAAAGGTTATTTTAAGTTCATCCAGAGGTCAACCACCCCTGATTTGAGCACTAACCTACAGCAAAGTGGTCTTATTTTTTAGTGATATGTAAAACTGTCATTTGTGCTACTTTTTAATCATTTTCAATTCCAGCCGATGTCACCATCCCAGCAGCTGTTAGTGCTGCACTCGTTTTAGAGTATAAATTTATTTCATAACATCACATGTCATTCCTGTGGACCTGTTGTCCTTATTTAGTGGCTGAAATGAATGTTCCACTGTATTTAGTTGCTCATCTAACTTCCCTGATCCTTCAGTTCGATCTGCTGTTGCCCTTGGCAACCCTTGCCAAGGTCTTGCTGTTAGCATTTCACAATAAAAGCACAGGTAAACCTTAATATTGTAGACTGCTGATAAATTTTCTCTATGCACAACTTTTAAATCGACTTGGGAAGACTATCAATTTTTTTGGGAAACTTCCAGAAGCTCTTAAAAAAAGATCCACTTTGGTTCATCCAGAGCCGCCTGCGTCTGTATTTAGCTGGCCAGAGAGCACCAGTGCTGGGGAGAGGCTGCTGCTGGCCGGGGTCTGTGCTGGAGGTAAGAGAGGATGAAAAGAAGTCCTCCTAGGGCTGAATTAAAACAACTATTTTCTTATTTCAGCGGTCTGCAAACCGCGGCTCCAGAGCTGCATGCGGCTCTTTAGTGCCCCTTGTGGCTCCATGGAGCTTTTTCAAAAATTAGGGATGCACGATATAATCGGCCCCCTATCGGTATCGGCCTTAAAACTGAATATCGGACATCGGCCACCCCACCGATATTTAACCCGATATTTGATCAGCTTCTGTCTAAAAAAAAAAAATACTACTTCTTCTTCTTCCTCAAAAACTTCTTTTTTACAGACTTAAAAACTTCTAAAGACGAGGGAAAAAATATTGATACATTAAAATATCCCAATATCTTCATATGCTGATATATTGCCATTTAAAAACACCATATCAATCTCTTTTACTAATTAAATATTGCTATATGTCATCGTTATGCTACGAAATCTCCCGAAAATTTAAGAAATTTTGCCATATTTTTATATGTTTTAAAACAAATTTAAAAAATCCATCTTTTACATTTTCATACATTTTTGATAGGGATGCACGATATTGGGATTTTGGCCGATATCCGATATGCCGATATTTTAAAACTCATGTAGCCGATAACCGATATCGATACCGATGTTAAAGCTGGACAAAAATAAGTAGTCATTGAAAATAGCAGTTTTGTTATCCATTTCTGACACTTTGAAAAATAATATACTCAAATATATTTTCATATGCTGATATCAAATAGATTTTTAAAAACGCGGTATCGATCTATTTTACTAACAAAATCTCACAAGAATTTGCAAAATATCACGAGAGTTTGTAACAGAACGATGAAATTTCACAAAATTTTGAAAGTAAAATAGATCGATACCGCGTTTTTAAAAATCGATTTGATATCAGCATATGAAAATATATTTGAGTATATTATTTTTCAAAGTGTCAGAAATGGATAACAAAACTGCTATTTTCAATGACTACTTATTTTTGTCCAGCTTTAACATCGGTATTGATATCGGTTATCGGCTACATGAGTTTTAAAATATCGGCATATCGGATATCGGCCAAAATCCCAATATCGTGCATCCCTATCAAAAATGTATGAAAATGTAAAAGATGGATTTTTTAAATTTGTTTTACAGTAGCAGCCATTCAAAATAGCCCCTCCTAGTCAAAAACAAGGCGAATAGCAGCAAAATCCCCTCCAGCTTCCAGCCACTGGCCTTCTGCTGGACGTGCAGATTTCTTTACTCTGACTCCACCTTTCACTGAATTACTGGGTCTGACCAGGAGATGGCGCTTCTCTTTAGATCTTAATGCCCACAAATAATGACAGAAAGAATAATATAATGTTTAAAAAGGAATTGTAGGGGGCCAGCCAAGGGCCCATCGAGGAAAGTGGGGAAATTTTAAATGGCTACTACTGTGATATGGTGTGCAGGAGGTCAAACAAATATTTATTATGTTTCAAATGCTATAAAAGTTTGTATAATAAATACATTCAAACAATAAATGTAAACATTTCTTTCCAGGAAGATTTGCGTCATAGCCTGCAACAAACGTTTAACAAGGCGCGGTGCCAGGCAGGTGGCTGCTGTAAACAAAGCGGTGGGTGTGTCTCAGGCCGTGGATCCCAAAGGGAAAAAAAGGAAGATAGATGGTAAGAACAGAGGATTCAAAGAAGAATGGAGCGAATCATTTGCTTTCATTACCAACGAGGAAGGATTTCCTGCATGTTTGCTTTGCAATGAGGAGTTGTCAAATAATAAAAAGAGTCATTAGGAAAGGCATTTCCAGGGAAGGCTAAATATGCAGCCGACCACCAAGCACCAACTACTAGACACATCTGCAATCAACAACAATTATTGAAGATTTCCAGAGGACTTCACCATTGAAATTTAAATACACGGATTCCTGATCCTCCACGGACGGGTTGGTCGTTGGATCGCCAACTTGAAGAGGGAGGATTTGCCATCGAACTTCTGGCCAGAGAAAAAACCCGTAATATGTAGCCAACATTTGGAAGAAGAATGTTTTCAAGATGACTTGGATAATAGCGCGTTGTGACAAACACCAAATACAGCAATGGGACTTGATCAACAGCCGATACCGCACCGTGACTATGTCACTAACCAGTAGGTGGCAGTAGTGTTCTTTGACAAACATGGATGCCTCCAGTAAAGCACATTCACATGAAAATTACTCTGAATTAAAAACACTGATCATTTATTGAACAGGATGGAATCATTTCAGATTTAAAGAACTTTCAGAAGTTTGAATTCTGAATATGAGCGACTTTTCCTTTAATATTATTTCCTCTGTGTTCCATTTTCACTGAAAAAAAGCTGCACTTCTTTAACCTACCTACCCAACCACATCTAGTCTCTGATTGGCTGCCGCAACGCGATTTAATAGAAAAGTTCAGAATTTTCAGCTTCAGCGCTCACCGCTTTGCTCAGTGCCGCTCAGTAAATAGTACGCACATCTGAGCCGGACTGGGCCAGAAACAACCAAATCACGCTAACATGGTTCTAGTTCATCCCTCGGGCTCGGCGCGGTTCAGTTCTGGCTCGGATAATAAAGAGCGCATCAGCAGACCGCATCAACTCCTTACAGTCAGCCTCCGTAATCATTCATAAAATCCTAGCTTCCCTACCGCGCCGCACGATTTCCACAGAGATGGCAAAAGTACTCACTTTCCGTACTTGAGTAAAAGCACAGATACTTGTGTTAAAAAATACTCTGGTAAAAGTGGAAGTACTGATTAAACTTCTTTACTCAAGTAAAAGTAACAAAGTACAGGCTTGTAAATTAACTTAAAGTATAAAAGTAAAAGTAGAAACCACTTTTTTCATGCCGTTGCCTACATTTTAAATGGATGTCTGCCAATAGGACTAGATCTCTGTTGTGTTCATTTTCAATCATCTCGTCGTCCATGCTACTATGCTAACGCCACCGCCACCAAGCTGCAATGATTCGCCGCCAATGAATACCGCCGAATCTGTCGATTCATCTTGTAGTGGTGCGTCAAATGCAACGTAGATTCCCATCCCATTAGATTGAATTTGGTATTGATGACGTGAAAAATAATAACGGTAACTCCATTGAAATGATTCAAAACTAAAGTAACGAGCCAATTTTTTAAAATGTAAGGAGTAGAAGTAAAAAGTCGCCATAAAAATAAGTAGTAAAGTAAAGTAAAAATATCAGAAAAATCTACTTGAGTACAGTAACGAAGTATTTGTACTTCGTTACTTCCCATCTCTGGATTTCCATTGATGGTTCTGCTAAGCAATGTGACAAACCTCAACGTCTGTCGTTTTTCCTGCATCTGGAATCCCTGATTAGATGATCGTTTGTCGTTTCCACTTCCCAAAAGCCGACTCTGTCAAGTAAATTCATCAAAGGCTGCCTTCTTTGCCTGACTGTCCACAAACTTCCTGAATGTTACGGGCACCGCCATGTTGGTTTGCTTGCTAGGGGGCGAGGAACCGTGCTAGCACGGTGTGTAAACGGTCATAAGGAATCGAGCTCGGCATGGATCGGTTTTCAGAGGATAAAGGAAATTGGGTTAATGCCTCAGTTCTGTCAAGCAGCACGCAGTGAGAATGATCGCTCTCACTGCGGTCCGGTTCATCACGCCGTTCGCATAGAAATTCTATATAAACTCTCGCCATAGACACTGGGTTCAGAGGTTATGACTTTAAACATTCAGAGCTGCAAAGCAATGATTCAGAACAAGGCAGGTTTGGACAGGTCCAGTCAAAGCTCATCCCTAAAGCTAAGGCAGATCATGTGACCAACGGAAGTCCTTTTGAATAAAGAATAGTAAAAAACATGACATTTAATTATTCATTCATTCGTTTTATTAAGTTTTTAAGCATTTAATTGTGCATTCTAATGTTATATCTAGTATTTGAAAGGTTTATTGGATAAATAAATGTTACAACTCCTTATTTTATGGTACATTTACTTTATGTATTTTGGTTTATTTCGGCCCACATTCTCTCAGGGATCATAATGAGTTTGCTCTAACGTGCTGAATGAAACGCAGTGTTATGTTTAGTTGAGGAAAATGTATCTTATAAATACCTTTGCAAGACACTATGTAGGTCAGGATGCAGCTAATTACTGTAAAGCTCATTTATGATGAATGGAAGATGTAATCCTCCACCCTGGAATCCACAAACACTTCCTTTGATTTATCAAGTTCTCTGTTGAGCCCAAAAACATTACCTACAAGAGCTCAGAGGCGACACACAGCGCGTCTGGATCTCATGGCTTTACTGTGGCATATGTGTGGGCGCTTATGAGTCACTCATCCTCTTCCCAAGCAGAATTTCCGGTATCATAACTGATCCCCTGGCTCCCATACGTCCAAAGGCTCAGGTGGGAGTACGGGAAAACAAGCGATCCGGCACAGAGCCCATTCAGTCGGTGTAGAAATGTGTTTAGAGGAGAGACGGAGAGGGATCTAGCAGTGCAGCTCACTCTCAGGTCTGTTTGAAGTGGCTTTGAGCTTTGAAGTCATCCTGGAGAGGCTATCAGCCCAAAGCAAAGATGCTTTCATGGACTACAACTCTGAGCTATTTTGTGCACATTTCCTGGGAAAAGGGGAATTTCCTGATATTCCTTTTCTTCAGCATTTTGTTCTCAAGCTCAATATTCAACATTAGAATATAAAAATCTATATTTCCAAATATAATGTGCTCAGTATTTTATGAGCACTGAGTAGTTTAAGGATCACTGTTTTTATTTTTACAAACAAAGCCTATTTTTTCAATCTTTTTCAGCGTATGTTCTCCAAAGCCGTTTCTATTTGTTATTTTAAAAAAAAGTTCTTATTAACTCAATTTACAGAAACTCTGCGTTACTTTTCACCATAAACTCTTAAGGGTTTATGTCTGAACTTTGATCGCTATTCGATTTAGTTTGACTTTTTATGATAATCATTTTCTTCTCGCCACTCTTTGATAAAGGAGACTAAATTGGAGGCATCAGATATGAACAGTTGTCCTTTCAGCTGATCTGCAAACCATGAGCCATCCTGGACCTTTTTTTTTAGCTTTGCTGAGTTTATTTTCTCTAACAGGTATCAGAGTATAGATTGATTAACTTTATTGATCTCACAGCAGAGAAATGTACTCGTTAAATCAGCTGAAATAGTCAAAGGAGAAGCAGGTGGCAAAGGAAGGATATATATAGTATATACAGTGCGTCCACATGATGGATGGAACCTTGGACAGCTCCCTCCTCTCAGCCACTTCCTGCCAGGGACCCAGCAGACTACAGCGTGGCTGATGTCACCACAGAGTTAGAGAAGGTTTTAAAGTCAGAGGGAAATCATATTTAAATGTCAAATCATTCTGGCTTAACCATAAATGTACTCTTTATCAGACCATATTGTCCCAAAACTTAGAAAATGTCTATTTTAAAAAAAATCCTGTCTATCTTCGGTCATAGCATCTTGATTCATATGTCGCAGCTAATATACGCAACGGTTGAAATCAGAATCCTTTCCTTTCCCACTGAGTTGCGTCCCAGTGTTCACGGGGATGGACGTCTGTGTCTTCGGCAGGCGTAGAGCTAACAGAACTGGCAGCGTTGCGAGGCAAGGGCTCAAACATGTACGGCTGGAAGCCTTCTACACCAAACCAAGCTTCTGCCGCCCTGGCGTCCTCTTCCACAACATCTTCGTCCCCGCTTTCCTCCTCTAAATAAAAAATGGATGACGGAGGAGACTCATCCACGACCTCCGACACTAAACTCTCCTCCTCTTGCATGTTTCCTCTGTCCATAGCGTTCCTTGACAGCGTCGTTTCTAAGTCACCAATTTAGTGCTACTTGGTCCCAATGGAATTTCCCATTGGGAACCTGCTAGCACTAAGTTGCTAACTGGTTAGCAAGATGCTTCCGACAAACCGGCCACAACCAAACTTGCTTGCGAACCTTCCGCCACAACAATCCCTCCCCCTTGATAAACGACCAATCACATTCACTTTATTCACTCGTGAAAAGTCATGCACCACTCGGGAGAATTCCGAAATAAATAAATAAATAAATTAAGTCAAAATTATGTGTAAAATTCCTAAATTATGAATGTATATTGATATAATAAGACACATAATTTTAATTAAACCTAATTAAATAGAAATTTCACTTCATGCAGATATCTTAAATTTAGGGATGCACGATATTGGGATTTTGGCCGATATGCCGATATTTTAAAACTCATGTAGCCGATAACCGATATCGATACCGTTGTTAAAGCTGGACAAAAATAAGTAGTCATTGAAAATAGCAGTTTTGTTATCCATTTCTGACACTTTGAAAAATAATATACTCAAATATATTTTCATATGCTGATATCAAATTGATTTTTAAAAACGCGGTATCGACCTATTTTACTTTCAAAATCTTGTGAAATTTCATCGTTCTGTTACAAACTCTCATGATATTTGGAAATTCTTGTGAGATTTCGTTAGTAAAATAGATCGATACCGCGTCAATATATCAACATATAAAAATATGGCAACATTTCATGAATTTTCGGGGGATTTCGTAGCATAACGATGACATATAGCAATATTTCATTAGTAAAAGAGATTGATATGGTGTTTTTAAATGGCAATATATCAGCATAGGAAGATATTGGGATATTTTAATGGATCAATATTTTTTCCCTCGTCTTTAGACGTTTTTAAGTCTGTAAAAAAAGAAGTTTTTGAGGAAGAAGAAGTAGTATTTTTTTGTTTTAGACTTTAGAAACTCAGAACCTGATCAAATATCGGGTTAAATATCGGTGGGGGGGCCGATGTCCGATATTCAGTTTTAAGGCCGATACCGATAGGGGGCCGATTATATCCTGCATCCCTACTTAATTTATTTGTATCCCTTGCCCTGTTTTTTATTTCATTTTTTTTTGTGCCCCCATGAAAGCACGCTGGCCCCCTCATGGCCCCCTGGAACATTTGGTCCAGATCCGCCACTGGAGTCCAGTCCAGTTTGTTATTGATGTGAACACCCAGGTATTTAGTAAAGGGAACTTAATAAACAAATAAATACACACGCCACACTTTTAGTTGTTGTTTTTTTCTACCATTTTACAGTTTGGTGCCAATTTAAATTATTCTGCCACATTAGATCCTAATAAAAACCTCTGATATATTCCATTTGCACCAGAAGAGCGCGTCGTTTCTTATACCAAGCTGCTGGATTAACTTCTTTCCTGGAGCTGCTCAGTGTATCTTATGCTGATCCATACTTTAAGCTCATTAAAGCGAATGACCTTATCATTGGGAAAAGGTTAAAACCAGAAAGAAAATACTAAAGATGGATAAAAAGCACAATGATATGCAGAGGAAATTGGATCTGGTGTGTTAAGTTATTAATGATATTTATTGATTTTTACTGACATTACATTTTAAATGATCCCACCAATAAATAAACTGAAATGAATTTGTCTTTAAATAACTTTTTGCTTTTATTTATTGTTTTTATTGTTATGTTTTTTCCTTCCTGTCACACTATAGCGACTTATATATGTGTGTGACTGTGATCTATAAGCGATTAAAAAACAAACATGATGCATGAGGTGAGAAGTGGCCGTCAGAGCCTGGTTTATGGTTTATTATGGAGAAGATGCAGGTGCGCTCCGCGCCCCGCGCGCGCACAGCTGATGCAGAAAGAGGAAAATCATCCGTACCTTCTTGAGACAAGCCATCCGTGGCCGATACCTCTGTCCATGGTCCCGGAGCGCGTTTTTAATGGTCATATTTGCGCTGATTTCCCCTCACGCGCGCTCCTATGCGTGACGCTGTTGCTTCCAGTCAGCTCCTCGTGCAGAGTGAGGAGGAACCGATATGAACGATGCTGGTGGTGCGTTCAAATGCTTCACCGTCTGAAGGGAAACGTCACCTTCATTATTTGTCCTGTTTTATTAAACCGCTTATTTCCTGCAGCAGATCTACAGGTTCTTCAATAGGAAGAATATTAGACTACTAAATGAAAGGAGATAATACAGGAAAAAGGTTAATTTGTTATGATTAAAATAATTATCCATTAAAATAATCAATCTGCCTCCTTGCTCGAAACTTCCACAGAAAAAGAAAATAAATGCAGAAATCAAGTGGAGGCAGGATAGAGTCTGATTTTCATGTTTTCGGGTTTTTTACAGTATAGATTGGAAAACCTCCAATCAGCCACACCGGAAGTGCATCTCCATATTAGGTGATGCCGGTTATGTGGTTGTTATTGTCTTTCTTAAAGGAATAGTACACCCAAAACATGATTAGCCTTCATTTTCTACTCACCCCCATGCTGAACAACACTCTGGAGTACTTTTTTGATATCTCAAATGCATCTGGAGATCTGGGAGGCTTCTTGCTATCTGCTGACATTCAAATAATGGAGGTCTATGGTGACCGAGACAGAAAGGTCCATAAAAGTCCACAAAAAACGTGTCAATATTCCTCCATACTGCTCGTCCAATGTATTCCAAGTGTCCTGAGTGGGTAGCATCCAGAATTTACTCGAAACGAAGTCATTTAGAATGTTTTTAGAGCATAAACAGTAGTGTATAGGATTTCCTGAAAGCGCGTTCACGACGCTATGGAAACCGCGGCAGACCAAACCAGATGAAAGTGCGCATTCAGCTCGGCAAAGAACTCATGCTCTTCCTCAACACTGAAGTCCTCAGACATTTTTCTTTCGTTGTTTCTTTCTTTGCACAGGTAAACAGCACATTTCTTCTTCTACGCTTGCATTATCGGCAGAGCAGACGCTGAATGCGCACTTTCATCTGGTTTGGTCTGCCGGCTTCCATAGCGTCCTGAACGCGCTTTCAGGAAATCCTATACACTACTGTTTATGCTCTAAAAACATTCTAAATGACTTCGTTTCGAGTAAATTCTGGACGCTACCCACTCAGGACACTTGGAATACATTGGACGAGCAGTATGGAGGAATATTGACACGTTTTTTGTGGACTTTTATGGACCTTTCTGTCTCGGGCGCCATAGACCTCCATTATTTGAATGTCAGCAGACAGCAAGAAGCCTCCCAGATCTCCAGATGCATTTGAGATATCAAAAAAGTACTCCAGAGTGTTGTTCAGCATGGGGGGGAGTAGAAAATGAAGGCTAATCATGTTTTGGGTGTACTATTCCTTTAAAGGGGTCTCTTTTTTTATATATATATTCAACAATTGCACACTTTACATAAATACACGAACATTCGTCTCCACTGAGAAAATATTACACTGTGCTGTATCCAACATTGCTGGTGTTTTAACATAAAACTAAAAACAAAAATGAAAATCATCACATTTTGGGAAAGTACAATTTACAAAAAGATATTAAATTGTTTACACACATTTACAGTTTTTGTTGCCTTTTGATTAAGAGAAAACTTAATCGTGCTGACATGTTGCTTGACCTCATTGTTAAAACCAATAAAAGATATTTTGGAATGTGTAAACTTACATTTATGAATGTAGAATTTTGCCAAGAGAATAATCAGATTAATAATGAAAGTTTAATTTGGTCTAGTCTTAGTACTGTTGAGGTCATAAAGTCCAAAAAGGACATCCTTCCGGAATAACTTAAAGTCTTTCTCAATTTTTTCTGCAATAAACTTACAAATGTCAGTAAACAGAAACCCAAAACAAATGGATTACTGGTTCAACACTCATAGAACAAAAAGTGCACGATACATCAATGTCTTTTTTAAATTTTTTGACAATATGATCATTAGACGGGTAAAACTTATGAATTATTTATTTAAATTTTTTTTTAAAAGGGGTCGTAGAAAGTAAAACCTAGTTTTCATTGTCATAGATGAATAACGATAGTTCAATGGTTACAATGAAGGTACAGAGAATATAAAAATACTTTATTTGTTTCTGCAAAGAACAGTAAAAAAGCAACGAGACTGCATCTGACAATATCAACGTCTCAGGTGTAAAAAATTCTTTAACCATCCAGAGCTTTAAGAGCAGAGATTAGGGAACAAAATATACTAGATAGCACAGATATTGTTCAAATATTTTTCTTTTTGTGTAAATTAAAAATTTACATTAAAATATAAAGTAATAAATAAATTATTTATTAATTATCAGTAGCTGTCTAAATAAATAGATTTCTGTAAGCTATAGCTTATCTGATATATTTGGTTGAATTTAGCAGTTTCCTTTATTGCCAAACAGGATATTCTCCCACAGTAAAAGAAAATCTTAAACGTAAGCTTGACTCTTCTTCAAATTGATTCCACACGGGGGGGGGATTTACTATTAGGCAATCCTAGGCAGTTGCCTAGGATTGTATATCACATTGTTTGAGTTTTAAAGGGCCCCAAGTTCCTGGGGGCCCCATAAAACTCTGTTTCCATGTATGGTTAATACAACCATTCCTTATTTGTGCACATTAATTATGTTTTTGATCAAAATTATTTCGCTAAAATGCCATCAGAACGCTGATAATATTAAGTGTGTCTCAGCCCCCTCCTTCAGTGTCCTCCATATTGGATCAGTCCATTTGCTGCACATGTTCAGAAAGGTCCAAACAGACAGCAGCAAACCATTTGAAAACAAACCATGCAAAGAGCAGTGTTGCCAACTTAGCGCTTTAGTCGCTATATTTAGCCACTTTTCAGACCCCTCTAGCACTTTGATTTCTAAAAAGCTCCTAGCGCCAAATCTAGAGACTTTTTTCTGCTACTGGAGACTTTGGAGACAACATCTAAAAGCAGCGAACTCTGCTCTCCAGAGCGAGTAGATTGGTAACCCCGCCTCCTGCTCTCCTCTATCTTGTCTGCTGTCATGATTCATGCAGCTATTATTTCATCCAAATGAAAAATGGAGAACAGATAAGCAGATCATGGCTTGTCTACAGTGAAAAGAAGGACTGGGTTATTTACTTTGGCCATTTTGGAAACACAGGAAGGAGCAATCAGCTAAGTGAGCTTAGTGCTTGGAAAAAATCTTTCATTCCTTTAGAGACAGCATGAAAAGTCAGCTGAGTACAAAACATAGAGAGGAAAACAAGAAGAAAAGGGACAAGAAGAGAGGGACACAACCTAGAACAGATAATGGATGTCTATTCTATTAACATTTCTCTATCTGGAGAATGGGGCTGTTTATGTGTTGTCTTCTCAATCCAGAGGGGCCCAAACATGGATGCCTCCAGTAAAGCACATTCAAATGAAGTTTACTCTAAATTAAAAACACTGATCATTTATTAAACATTATGTAATAATTTCAAATTTAAAGAACTTTCAGAAGTTTGAATTCTGAATATGAGTGGATTTTTCCTTTAAAGGCGTCGCTGTGAGATCTCAGTAAATATTCTGTTCTAAAAAAAACAGTTTTTTTTATGATGGTAAACAAAATATATTGAAAGATTTCTGATTGAATTTCTTATTTTATAATTGTTATAAATGTCAAATATTAATCATTTTAGATCTGCTTGATATCAGTGAAATCAATAGTGAAAATTGTGTCTTTTTAAGCTAAATATAAAGCAAATTTATGTCTGATTCTTCTATAGTCATCTTTCTCATGTCAGAGAGGAAAAGCCTGGAGCTGCTGAGGTCTCATCATCACACAGCTGCTCTAACATCTCAGATAAGATTAAAATGAAAATTAAAATCAGTGAAGCTGCATTTAAATCCAAAGACGCTCTCGCGAGGTCTATTCCTGTATGACAATGATGTTGGTGCCCATAAATCCGATAGTACTTGAACGCATCTGACGTAAAGGGAAATATATATCAACCAATCAGAAAGCAGCATTTGCTCACACCGCTGGAGTCAGACATGAAGGAGGAGCGACAGAGAAAAGCTGCTTTTCTAAATAATTCAGATGTTTTAAAGTTTAAACTGATGTCAACAGTTAGAAGCTGTAAACCTTTGGATATTAAAAGAGGAATCTGTCCTGTTTTATCTCAATGCCAGAACTTTTAGTTATTAATTTAATAAAAACTTAATCAAGTACTGGACCGTTAAATCTGATAGAGTTGATGATTAAACAATAACAGGTAGCATAATGGGTTTTTTTTAATTTATGACAAAAAAAAATTTATAATATATGCTCAGGGCCAAAGTTTCCTGACCTCTGGTCAAGATCTAAATATGAAGAGTTATGAAGTATATATATATATATATATATATATATATATATATATATATATATATATATATATATATATATATATATAGAGATGCACGATATTGGGATTTTGGCCAATATCCGATATTTTAAAACTCATGTAGCCGATAACCGATATCGATACCGTTGTTAAAGCTGGACAAAAATAAGTAGTCATTGAAAATAGCAGTTTTGTTATCCATTTCTGACACTTTGAAAAATAATATACTCAAATATATTTTCATATGCTGATATCAAATTGATTTTTAAAAACGCGGTATCGACCTATTTTACTTTCAAAATCTTGTGAAATTTCATCGTTCTGTTACAAACTCTCATGATATTTGGAAATTCTTGTGAGATTTTGTTAGTAAAATAGATCGATACCGCGTCAATATATCAACATATAAAAATATGGCAACATTTCATGAATTTTCGGGGGATTTCGTAGCATAACGATGACATATAGAAATATTTCATTAGTAAAAGAGATTGATATGGTGTTTTTAAATGGCAATATATCAGCATATGAAGATATTGGGATATTTTAATGTATCAATATTTTTTCCCTCGTCTTCAGAAGTTTTTAAGTCTGTAAAAAAGAAGTTTTTGAGGAAGAAGAAGTAGTATTTTTTTTTTTAGACAGAAGCTGATCAAATATCGGGTTAAATATCGGTGGGGTGGCCGATGTCCGATATTCAGTTTTAAGGCCGATACCGATAGGGGGCCGA